TCTTTTTTTCAGTTAAATTTTAAAATAAAATGAAATATGTTACTGTTCTGTACGAATCATCAAATTTTTCAAAATTGTTTATATTCGTTTTGGAGATTATATAAGGTGAAGATTTCACCGAAATTATAATTTTATATAATAGTTAATAAGTAAAAATTTAAATTGACGACGATATTCAATTTGATGTACCGTAAATGTTTATATCACGTATATTGTCTGAACAATTTCTTTTAATTAGGTTACAAAGTACTGCAGGTTATTTCTTCAAAATTTTAAATGTATTGGATCACATAGTTTCAAATTAGATAATTTTAAGTTTGTTAACTGTAACCTGCAAGACTTTTGGTATACATAATTTTAGTTCTGTTTTTATGTTAACTTGTTAAAAAGTAAAAGGTGTACTTAATCGTAATAAATGGACGAGCAATATTTGGTTTCTGTTTTATTGAGATTTTTTGTATAATGACGAGTATAATTCCGTAATTTACATGGAATTTGTAAAGAAGTAACGATGTTTTATTTTTATAATAATTTAAATTTTATTGTTTATTAAAAAGTTGAACGAGGTGGGGACAGAAATGTGAGAAACAAATTACTTTTACATGTCGTCGGTAAATTTTTATTGATACTCAAGCTACAAATGAAATATTAGGTCATTTTTAAACATGTAAACTTCGTTAATTATATTAAAATTAAATGGTGACACTCGAATTGAGCACAGAGCGTAAGCAGGTAAACAAGTAATTATCGAGGGTTTGTTTATCAAGAAAGGAATTGAGCACAGGGATCATACAGGTAGCAAATAAAATTACCGATGATAAGAACAACATTAACGTTGTAATGTTGCCAAATATAACTGGTTTGTAAAGGGCGGGAGAAATTAATAAAAACAAAGGACTGCCCTTATGCAATTATAGTTATCATTGTCTTGTACAATAAATAACATGTCTTCAATAAAATTTGGGCCGAACAGTCTTCTAGTGTCTCTAGAACAACCAACACTAGCGAGGCATTCTATTCGGAATTTAAGAAGGAAAACGTCTCTTCGCATCCCAATATCTATTCTTTTTTAAAGGTTCTGATTGAAATTCAAATAGACACTTACATAAAAATTAATTTTAAAATTCAGTTAACCTATAATATTGGTTTTTGTTACAATATTCCATTAGAAAATTTACTTGTTTACCTACCTACTGCTTCAAAAAGAACTCAAATCCCTACAGATATTTCAAAATAAAGCTGGCAACATGGCTTGTGCTCAATTCGGGTGTTTATTTAAACACATGCAGGTAAGAAAATCTTTGTTCTCAATTCAGGGGTCCGTTTGTGCTCAGTTCATGCTTATTAATCATTTTTGTGCTCAATTTAAGCGCACTGAATTAAATAACTGATTTTTTCTAAAACGTAATCTAGAAAAGACAATTACTATTTATTGAAATATAGAAGCATTCATATGCATATTATTATTGAATGGAAGGTGCTGTCATAAAACTATTAAAAAAACCATTCTATAGAAAGTACACGGAGCAAAAAGGCTTTGAAATTGAAACTGTGCAGAAGCCGACGCACGACTTGTGACATAGTATTTCCAAGGAGTAAACTGTAAAATGCCTTAGAATGAAAGGTAGCAGAGAGAGAACACAAAGGTCGTTTTGAATTCGCGCGTTTTACGGCAGTTTTAATCAATCCAGAGCATTCCTTACAGCTACGCAGTATTGCCTTTTTATTTTTTCTATATCGTTTTAGTTTTACACTTAGGCTTATTTGAATCTATTTACTTGTAAGTGATTGTTGTTAATAAATAAATTTATTCCTTTCAAATGCGAAGTTCATTTTATACAATTAGTTTCCCAGTTACCGTCCCGACATTGGTCACCTCGACATGATTCCGTTGTGTTTCGTTTTTGAAGTATAGACGGGGTATTACGATTTCTTCTGTCACGAAAAAGCGTTACGACCGCGTTAAGGGGGTAGACGGTATATCGCGTGGTTGGCGGCAACGGCGGTGAGAGGGTAACGGCTGTATTAGATGGATATAATGCGCAGCCGCGCGGAGAGCGGGGAGTCCGCTAGAGTCCTGACGGCGTGTGGTGTGCTCAGCTGTTGTTTTCTTATCTCTGATTTGCGGTCTGTGTAAAAACCAAATCATAATTTGCAGTAAACCTGTGAAAACGAAATGTGTGCTGGTACATATAGTAGAAGTGAAACTTAAACGGACAAGTGGAAAAACGAATTGCAACAAAATTTTTTACTTCAAGTTTACAGGCAGATTGTTAATGTTTCACTTCTGCTTTGTGTCCCAGCATACTTTTTTTTTATTTTATGACACTGACGTGAGTGTGCTGTATAATACTATCGATAACTGATAGTGTTGACTCCGCCTTGAATTACGAGTTTTCACTCCAGAAGTTGGTTCAAACGAGTGGAATGGATTATCGAAGATGCTGGTGTTAAGAGCAGTATAGATAAATTCCGCCAAGTCGCAGTGTGTTAGATGTATTTGACTAGTGAGGTGGTCCGACTCTGTTGAGGTGATTGGTGTGTCTTAGTTGGCAGAAGTTTAAGTGCGGCACATTGAGATTTCTTTGTGTGTATACAATATAGTAGTATTATTTATAGTTATTGTACAGTTTTCAGTTTTAATAAAGTAATATTGTCTTGCTTGTTAAGAAAAGTGTTTTCGTATTATATTGTTTAATCTGTTCCTATTTGACAAAACACAGTCGCTCAACGCACGGTCCTCTAAAGAAGTGCGAGACTTAATCCTAGATCCTTCCGCCTACGACCCCATTTCAAAATTAAAGGACAAGCTGTTGCGACGTCTAGAAAATGCAGCAACTCTTTGAACACAAGGACATTGACATCTGTCACTGTTCGTGGGTAATTCGCGGAAGTCGTAGTTCCCCATCACCCATGGGCTCCGTGTGTATACACATAGCTTCTAAGTAACTTATCTACGATCAAATAAAATGTTTAAACATGTTTATGAATTAAAAAAATTACTCCAAGGAAATTTAAAGGGCAAGGCACCTCTACGATCAAACAGAACGGCTAACGACGCATTTAAATTAAGTAAGAAACAACTTCCTCAAACTTGACGATTTTTTTGTTTTCTATAATTGTTAGAATAAAAGACTTAGGTTTTGCTCATTTAGATATTATTTGCTCTGTGGCGAAATAACTCTTATTGTTTTTTTGTATGTAGATAAATGTTTTTTCTAGTTTTTCTATTTCAAATATTTCATTTCAAATAATATTTCATTCCAAATATTATTTCACTTCAAATATTATTTCAATTCTTTTCAATTTCTTATATTATAAATACTTTGGTTTCCATTCAATCTAAACTCTATTGTTCTCTCAATCACTTTTACCCAGAATTCCAACTTCAGCTATACCTGCATGCGCTCCCATACTAATATGTATCTGGTTTTACTCTTAATTGCTTTCTCTTTAATTCTATACTGTCTAATTCTATGTATTCCTATAAACTAGTGTCTTCACCCTCTCTCTAACTACTTTTCCTTCTACGAACAACCCTGTCCTATAAATACTCCAAAAAATATTGTAAAGTTGGTTTAAAAAGAGTAAAAAAGCGATATTTCGCAAGTACATTGTATCAAGTGTAATAAACATTTAGACATTTTGCCCTAAAGTTGAAGTTTGTGACATACCTACATGTGTATTTATTGTAGAATTTATTTTTGTGGAATTAAAAGAATGGTATTAAAAAAAGATAGACATAAAAGGAATAATTAAATAAATTGCTCTTTTCCACGTATCAATAAATGCTAATTAAATATTAATATGAATTGTTATTTTTGCAGTACTTTAAGAAACATTCACTGTCTTTATTAATGAATATTTGTTTCAGTATATTATAGGCTAGTAATAAGACTTTGATTTCTAGAAGCACAATACTACTTTTTAAATAAGTACATACGTGAAATATAATTGTGTTAAGATAATGTGTATCATTAAATGTAGCACCTTATTAAAATTATTTTTATACATTCTATTTTTCTATGTCTTTTTTTCAGTTAAATTTTAAAATAAAATGAAATATGTTACTGTTCTGTACGAATCATCAAATTTTTCAAAATTGTTTATATTCGTTTTGGAGATTATATAAGGTGAAGATTTCACCGAAATTATAATTTTATATAATAGTTAATAAGTAAAAAGTAAGTGAGTGTTCAGCGATACTCAAAGCTCTATTAAGCTAGCAACTAATCCATTGTTTCACAATAGGCGCACTAAACACATTATCTTAAGGCATCATTTTGTTAGGGAATGTGTTTCGGAAGGGAAAGTCGAAATTAAGTAAGTATCAACTTCAGAAATGTCAGCAGACATATTTACAAAAAGTTTAAGTGCAAATAAACATACGTTTTTAAAATTAATAGGCATGTCTGATGTTATATAGTAATATGTACCCAGAAAACAAAACAATCTTTTATTGTAACTTACTAGTGCCACTTATCGTTCACTTTATATACCAAAAAGTATTCTGTTCTGTTATCTATGTTAAAATAAAATAGTTCAGTTGATATCAAGACATTAGTTGTATTTTATGACACATTCGATCATTGCTTGGGCGCTGCATTACTTACAACAATACCACGATGGAAACTGGGAGTCTTTAGCATTTTTGACTGATAAACTATTCAACGCGGAGACAAAATACTGTGCTTTCCATTTCCTAGAGGCCCGTGACATTTTCACGGATCACAAACCTCTCACATTTCTCTTCCGTGGGAAGCTCAGAATTTAAAATTTTCTTTTGTGTCCAATTAGTAGGTAGTGGGGTTTCACTATTTATTGGAATCAAAATCAATGTAAGTAATTATTATATTAGGGATGTAATACGTATAAATTTAATTCAAAAGATCTTTTTTAATTTTTATTTTAATGATTTACTACAGCATATTAACTGATAAAATTATTAAACTTTACACAAAACAAAAGTAGCGTACTACTGCGAGACTTTGTGGATTAAATGCATAAGATAAACAAATCAATCTAAATATGGTAAAGTTTCAATTGCAGCTTCACTAATAAACTGTCTGTACCTCATTCTAATATAATTTGCAAGCTTTCTTCTTTTTGAACAAGTTATTCTAACTATCATTTGCCAACATTTGCTTTTAGCACATATGCGATAGTTCTCATGTCGTTTGGATCGTACATTTAACTTGTGAGTAAAAATTTCCAAACCCAATATTAAGCCTATAAAAAATTATAATACGGGTGTACTTTATTATTCTAGTTTTTTTTTTTGAAGTGAAACTTCTTTTGGTTCGATGGGACTAAAATCTCAAGGCCATGAAACGACACGTTTTGCAACGTTTTGCCTCGCGATGCGATAGGCTATGAGAATAGCAAGGTGCGCATGCGCATATCGGTAATACAGTCGGCTATTAGAGACCGGCATATCATATATTATAGTATATTCATTATACTATAGTGCTAAATTAATGTTTTGGTTTTATCTGTGCAGTTATATTACAGTAAGTGTATTACAATAAATGTTTATTTAACAACAATTAAGAGTGAGTATTATTATTATCTATTAATTCTAATTCATTGTAGTTATTGATAGTTTACGGTTTTTTAGGCACTTGGAAAAATAAACGGAAGCGAAAATAAAATTGACCATTTTTTTGTTATTCAATTACATAAAAACGTATTAAAGTAATACTTCTTAGGTGGACTAAAGATAAAATATGTTGGAAAACATAAATTCTGAAAATTCTCATACTCTCCCTTTCTTTCACCAGTCATTACTTATTCGTTACAAGGGTATAGAGATCGCCAAAGAAGTTTCACTTCTTTCACGTGTACTGAGTTGCACCTGTTTTTATTGTATGAAATTTTAATAATTTTGGATTTTAATCGATTACCTGATAACATACAACCGAAAAATAACAAGTAGAAAGCTCCTTGGAGCATTTTGAGATTTATTGGTTGCAACTTTTCATTATCTTGAGCAGCTTTTGTAACGCTTCGTATTTCCTTTTTACCCACAGGAGTTATAGCTCCAGCGGTACCTTCGTTTACAACTGATCGTCTTCTTCCCAACTTTGCATATTCATTTTCAGTCATTTTTGTCAAAATTCCTCCTTCAAATAACGCCATTAAACTGGAACAAAAAACTGTAATGACAGGAAAAACACAAGTTTTGGTTACAAATTATTTATTTGTTCCCAGTAATTATTTAATCAAATCCGCCTGAAAAAGTCACTGTGTGTATTAATGGGGATTTTCACTAAATAATATGTAATAAAAATTTGTGTTCTCCCCTTTCCTCTTATTGTATCTTTTTACGAAAAATTTATCCGTTTTATTTTGTTTTCGTAATCGACAACGTACATTGAGTTAACATTTTCTAAATAAGGACATCCGACTTGAAATGCAATTGCAGAATATGCCGTATTTAGTTTTTGACTTAAATGAAAATTTTGAGCTCCTAAAATGTAAAAAATGTAATATATATATTACGACACATTGCGAGATAGTATCTACCGTATCTCTGTATATCGAAAAAAAGTGTTTCTCTTCCACCGAGAAGAACATTATTACTGTTAGATTCTTTGACTAGCATTACTCCCTCTTCAACAGAGTCGACTACAAACGATCTCTGTTGATTTATTAAATGCCACAAACGTCTATATACACCAGTTCCATTCTTCAATACAAAAAAATATAAATTAGAAGATTGAAATCCCAGTTGAAGGATAAGTAAATAGTTATTAGGTGAGCACCTCTAAAAGACTATAACTTGAACTATGCTTTTCAACATACAATCGGTAGAATCGTTTTATCATAGCTTCTTCGAGCTCATATAAATCATTTATTGCCCTTTCTACAAAAATAAATATTAAAATTATTGATGGTACTATAATTTTAAATAGAATACTCTCCTCTTCCTGGTTTGGCTAAAAGAGATGTAAGATTTGCTGAATACATATCGGCTATGATATAAGTCGCTGATATTGAGACCATAATCGTAAAAAATCTGACTTTATCGTTATCAAAAGGAACTTTAATAGCTAAAATGGTATCATATTGTATATTACTAGATCTACATATGAGTTTTTGTATATTTTTACAGAAGACCAATCAATGATTGAAAAAACAAATCGATCTAGAAATGATGTAGTGAATTATTTCAAAATTATATTAGCTCTACTTTTCAATATATTCCTACCAATATTAATGCACTTGTCCCTATAATGAATTAGCTTCTTTATACTTGCTGAAAATTTCGATGTATGAGCTAATTTTTCCCGAATTATTTTCGTAAACAGTTTCTCCAAAAAAAGTCAACAAACGTAGGAATCTTAAAATAGCAAGGAGTACAGTAACCACCCCGTACACAGGTGTTACAAAATTTACCAGAATTGGTCAATGGGTTATTTATATATGAATTCGTTCTAGTTATTTTTGGTTAGCAGATGAATAGTTTTTCTTCGCCTAGATTTTTATTACGTAATTTGAGTCTTAAGTCTTGACTAAATTAATATGAATTCGGGATAATATTTTATAATTTTAAAATAATTTCTTCTCTGCCGATGAGTAAGACAAAGACAATCCTCATCTAAAATCGTGAATTTTCCGTCAACTTCGTACTAACTGTCAGCGGTCATCTGGTTTGTTTTCTATCATGAGCAAGATCGAGGTATCAGTAGGCAGGGTGTAGCAAAGAGAAAGAAATTCTTCTCGCGTGCTAGTTCAGTCACTCAGAACTTTTGGGGTTGTAAAGGGAAAGAGACAGGACGCGAAAGTGCGGATCCTCGCAGGGAAGATTACGAGAAGGATAGGTTATTTGATACAAGCGGCGTAACAAGTGCCGAAGTACCTTTCTGTCTTCGGCATCCTCAACGTTCTCTGATTCCGAGACAAAGACCGGCGCAACTAGCCAAAACTCCAAAGCCCCTCCCCCATCGAAATCCGCCAAAAGTCCCTTTGGTCGAAAATTCTTCAATTCATGGACAACCACGGCATCGCCACACGACCGCGATCTCCATGTTGTTCTCCGTGAAGTTTGCGAAGACATTTCCACAGACGATGTCAAAGTCGAACTTGTTCATAAAGGCTTTGACATCCGCGGCGTCCACCGAATGTCCAACGGTGGAAAAACCTGGCCCTTAGTGTTTGTTCGTCTGGACAGATCATCCCGAAGTCAATCTTCGAATTTGGCGAGGTCTGCGGGCTCAGCGTAATAGTTGAACTAAAAAGGGCTACAAAAGACACCCCCCAATGCCGCCGTTGTTTGAAGTTCTTCCAAACGGCCAACTATTGTCACGCCGCTTGGGTCTGTTCCTTGTATGGCCGCAACCATATCACTGCTGAATGTAAGGCAAAGGACAAGAAAGATGCCACTCCTTCCTGCGCTAATTGCGAAGGAAGTCATCACGCCACATACCGCGGCTGCCCCAAAGTTCCAAAGAGGAACGTACCCCCCAAAAATCTGTAGTACCCCCTAACACACATAAGTCCATGCAACAAGTACCCCGTCCAACAGTCATTCCCGGAAGGATACTCCCCCAAAAATTTTACACCAGGGCAATGACAGCAGCTTCCCCCTTCCCCTCAAAAACGCAATGCGTCACCAAACACCACTGCAGCTTCTGCTCCTGAACAGAGGATCCAGTCCATCGTTCAAACGATGGTAGCAAGTCTGGTCACCGTCCTACAAACGCCCACCAATGTGTAATACACCCTCCCAGACAATCTTCGCATACTAACCTGGAATGCGCAAACCATTAGAGGTAAATTGACTGAACAATCAGTGTTGCTTGCATCGCTGAAACTCGTCTCTCCAAAAAAATCAAACTTTTCGTCCTAAACTTCTCATCCTACAGAAAGGTCTGTGAAAACCACGGTGCATACGGTATCGTCATTCTTGTTAGGAATTCTTTAAAGCACAGGTGTATCTCCTTGGCCACAAACTCGTTAGAAACAGTCGGCATCGAAGTTTGGCTTCCGGTCTTCTTAGGATTATGTTTCTCTACTTCCCCTTCGGACAGAGACCTTTCTGAACTCCTCCTTCTAAACCCCCAGGCGTTCCAACTATCGTTGCCGGCGACTTCAACGCTAAACACGTCTCTTGGGACTGTCTACAAACCAGTAGTAAAGGCACATCTCTTCTTGCCAAAATTCTTGACCTCAACCTCACAGTTGAAGCACCCCCTGAACCCACGTTCCTCCCTGTCTCCCACAATCAATTCCCTGACATCCTTGACATTTTCGTCACAAAAAATGTTACACTTTCCGCCGATCCTATCGTCATTGACGCACTAAGTTCAGACCACCTTCTAGCCCTGATTGAAGTCTGGTGTTCAATCAACAACCCCCCAAACCCAACTACGTCACTAGATTGGCTACACCTCCGTTACACCCTCGAAACATCTTCATTCAAATGCACTCCAATTCGCACAATAGCGGAACGAAGCTGTGAATCTCCCTTTAAACGAGATTACCAGCGTTATCGCTCCATTACCTCCCGCCCCACGCCCACCAAAGACAGAACACTTTCTGCAGACATTTTTGACCTCCTCAAGAGGAAAAACAAGGCCCGACGTCTGTGGAATAGACACCGCGTCCCCGCACACCGTGCAGAAGTAAATGCTCTTCAACGAGAACTAAAAACTCGTCTCACTGCATTCCGCAGCGCATCCTTCGATGATTATATCGCTCAGGCATAAACACACCCCCGAAATACTTGAAGACTGATCCGTTCTCTTCCTAACAGAGCTCCCGATCTTCCGCCACTAAAACAGAACTTCCCTACCTACTCTACAGTCGAAGAAAAAGCTGCAATCTTCGCAGACTCTTTATATCTCCAGTGCTCCCCACTACCTAGTCCAGCAGACCTTGCCGACTTTCACGCGTACCAAAGCCGCCTCCCACATCTTCGTTCTCCTAAATTCCGACTTCAGACACACTACACCCCATGAAATCTCGCTTACTATCCGTTCTCTGAAAAAGAGAAAAGCTCCTGGAGCTGATGGAATTCAAAACGGAGACCTAAAGGTCCTGTCGCCAAAGCACTGTCATCTGTCTCCCTAGAAAAGTGAAGCCTCTCAGCTCTCCTTCAAGCTACAGGCTCATCAGCCTGCTCAGTTCTTTGAGCAAAGTAGTTGAATCAATCCTTCTCGACCAGCTCTTAGACCATGTGGAGCAAAACAACCTTCTCCCCGATCATCAACACGGCTTCCGCAGGCATCACTGCACCTGCCACCAACTTCTTCGCGTATCTCAATACATTTTCGTTATCCTTAACAAGTGGCGTTACACCTCCATGCTTCTTCTTGACGTCCAACAAACGTTCGACCGAGTCTGGCACGAAGGCCTTACCTCAAAACTCATCACCCTTAACATTCCACATTTTCTAGTAGGGGTTATCAGGTTCTTTCTGACAGACAGAAAGCTTCGGGTCCGCGTCGGCTCTGTTCTCTTTGCCCGTAAACCCGTCATTGCCGGTGTCCCACAAGGCTCCAAACTAAAACTTATTCTATTTAATCTGTTCTGTGCGGACATGCCCTCCGACATTTCTATTTTGACAGCTCTCTACGCAGAAAACATTGCCCTCATAAACTCAACCCAAACCATTCTCAATGCACAGGGAGAATTAATAAGTTTCTACCCCTGCTCCTAAACTGGTACCGAAAATGGAAACTTTTCATTAACGAGACCAAATCGGAAGCAATTTTCTTTTTCGTAGGTCCGGAAAACCTCCCTCTATCTTAGTAAACTACCGTCCCATCAAGTGGAGCAACTCTGTCACCTACCTAGGCGTCGTTTTCGACAGGACCCTGAACTGGCGGCTCCACATCGCAACTACCCGTAAGAAGGCAAAGGGTGCGTTCATCGCACTCAAGCCTTTCTTCCGAAACCACTCCATCTCCCAAAATACGAAAATCTGTGCGTTTTACGCAATAATGAGGAGTATTTGCTCGTACGCCATTTCCGTCTGGGGCTGCGCCCTTCCTCACCGCCTGAAACCTCTTCATGACACCTACATGCGGATTATTTGGTCCGCACTAAACTATCCCTGGTTCGTCAGAAACAACCAAATTCTGATAGAAATCGGTTTACCTTCTCTCCCTGAGGCTGCAATCTCATTCGCAGGAAATCTCCGGGCCTCAGTTTCATGCCACGCAAACCCCACCATTTCGACACTTTTCAAAAGCACGAAGCCAAACGACCGTTTCCGAAGGCCTTGTCACCTTCTACAATTAGCCACTCGTAGCTTCGCTTTTTAGCGCGAGTGTCCACCCATCATTTCCGAGGTGGACCACCTACTCTGACGGCTCTCCCCCCCGGATCCCCCCACGCTTAACCATTTTTCCTTCTCAACCCTCTCCCAAATCCCAACGTTCCACTCTCTTCCCTGGGATGAGTAACCCTCAGGGTTTATCTCCCCGCTAGAGGAGGGGTTTTAGTCGGTAAAAATCCGACACTACCTCCCTTCAGAAGAAGATATCTCTTTCTCGAGAATAATCTAAAAAAAATTCCGGTAAAACGAGTCTCTGACATTCCACCTACCCGGTCAAGGAAGAGAGAGAAGAGATTTGGCTGGCTCTGTATTACAGTCTGAGATAGCTTCTGCGTATACAGGGTTTGTCCGGAAAGTAATAGGACTGATGTCTTCCACCACAGCTGTACTTTGGAGCGTGCGCGAACCGACTGGATTCGGTAGAGGGCATTCCTAGCTAACGAACGAGAGGCTGGTCAGTTGTCTCCGAGCACCTGGAGAGTTAGAACAGGCTTTTTCGCGCGACGTGTTTCTGTGAGTGGTGCAAGCCGAAAATGCAGCGTTCGTTGGAGCAGAGGTACGCGATTAAATTCTGTGTGAAACTCGGTAAATCTGCGACAGAGACGTTTGATATGATCAAGCAGGCTTACCCAGATGTTGCTTTAGCCAGAAGTGGTGTGTTTCGGTGGCACCAGGCTTTTTCAGAGGGTCGGGAAAGGTCGCCGGTGAAGACCGTGCTGGAAGACCTTCGACTTCGACAAATACCGACAATGTTACTCGTGTGCGCGAAGTTTTCAAATCTCAGACCGTCGACTAAGTATTCGTTTAATTGCCCAGATATTAAATTTACCAAAATCTGTGGTTCATGACATCGTGACGGAGCATTTGAACATGCGCGAAGATAGTCCCAAAAGTGCTCACTGACGACCAGAAATCGCGGCGAGTGGAAGTGTGCCAAGAAAATTTAAACATGTGTGAAAGTGACTCCCAATTTTCGAATAACGTAATCACAGGTGACGAGTCATGGATCTTTGAGTATGATCCCGAGACAAAGAGGCAATCTTCCGAGTGGCACACGCCGGCGTCTTCTCGCCCAAAAAAGGGAAGAATGAGCAAATCCAATGTGAAAACGATGCTCATTGTCTTTTTTGACATGAAAGGCATCGTCCACCATGAATTTGTTCCTCCTGGACAAACCGCCAACGCCAAGTTTTACGTGGAAGTGCTGAAGAGACTGAAACGAAGGGTTAATCGGGTTCGACAAGACATCGCAGCCGACTGAAAGGTGCACCACGACAACGCCCCGGCTCACGCCGTCTTTCTTGTGGACAGCTACCTGACCAAGGCCGGCATCCCAACGCTTCCGCAGCCGCCTTACAGCCCAGATGTGCCCTTCCCCGGAATTTTTTTTGTTTGCTCGCCTGAAAAGGCCGATGAAAGGCAAGCATTTTGAGACGACAGAGAGGATCCAAGCAGCATGCACCGCGGCTTTTAAGGCTATTCCGGAGAATGCCTTCCGTGACGCCTTCAATGCTTGGAAATCGCGCTGGCAGCGCTGCATCGATGCAGACGGAGCCTATTTTGAAAGTTTTTAAAGAATTGTAACGATTGGTTCAATAAAGTTTTTTAAATCGACTCAGTCCTATTACTTTCCGGACAAACCCTGTATGCTCGATTAGTCGAGCACGAAGGTGGCCATTTATGTCCTATTTTGGTAGATCACTCCGAATCGATACACAAATAAGTTTTCAGTATGCGTAGACTAGAAAATAATATTGAAAAATAACTTAAAAAAAAAATAAACCTAATGCTTTTGTTTGTTTTGTAATTGGTTTTCACATTCACTGTCCTCATCGGAATCACTATCACTGTTATTTACATCAACAGTCAGTTCTTCTGTTTGTATGTCTATTACTTGTTCATTATCTCATATAGCATTTAAATAAATTCCATTAAACTAAATTATATATTTCTTTTTTATATAAATTTTGAATATCTACAACAAGAAAACCAATCGAATTTTTTTAATTTAATTTTTAAACTGCAGAATGATAGCTGTAATTCTTATACCTAAAAGTGCCTACATTTGTCACTGCGCATCCACGCCATCTTAAAATTTCCGCCAGCTCGAGCGTCAGGCCTGTACTTTCCTATATGACTCAAAATATTTACTATATATGGACCATATGATTCCTTACCACTTTTATAAAAACATTCATAAAAAATGAATAATAACAGAGTCATGGACGAAACCGCTTCAGGTGGTATAGTCTGTATATAATTGACAAGGAAAGAAAAATTATTAATACGGTAAAAATATATATACTTTTGATTTGAATAATATTTTCGTGTGATATGCCTAAATCTTTTAGAAATATTTAATAATTTAATCAATGTTGATAAAAATAAGTGACTGCAAATTGGCTTAAAATCGATATTGAAGCTCATAAATAAAGTTGAAAAAGTCATTATTAATATAATGGAAGAATTCCTCCGGATTTGTTGTGCGTAATAAATAATATGGATTTGTAATTATTTTTAATTATATCAAATAATGAGCTTAAACGCTCTCCTCATATAACAACGTGCATCGCTGCTCTAAATTTTAGCTGTAATAGCATTAGTGGAAACGAATGTTGTTCAACTAATATGAAAACTTTAAGCAGAAATGAAACTTTGAGGTTATGAATCAAATAACTTTTATCAATTAACTGATCAGCAAATTTCTCTTCTAGATCAATTTGTGTTTTTGCTTATTGAATTACCCATGCAAATATTTTACCTACTTTGTTTAAGAAACAAAGAGATCGAATACCAGTAACATTCAAAAAATAATTTTCCTTTTGATTTTACGAGAAAGGTGGAATGCCAAGTGTTAGGTAAGATGACGAGGGCATAAAGAACAGGACCAGACAACATAAGTATTGCAAAGATTACTGGCCAGACCTTTAAAACAATTTGGAATAAATGCGCAATAAAATTGTTTCTATTTAAATCTAGTTTAACTTACTTGCCAATGAAATGGTCTTATTAAAGCCAGAGCTTCGTTAAGTTTACTGGGTGCATGTGTTATAAAAGCTCCGCTATCGGCGAGGGTGATGAATGAAAATTCGGCTACTTGAAAACGATCTAGCGTTAGTGCTACGTCACCAAGAAATAAATCGGCTTCCTGTAAGTATATCATTTTACATAAACAAGAAAGAATTTTTTATTTTTATCGTTTTGTACAACACTATGCGTAAGAAGATTTAACTGTTACTTAATTATTGTATGTTATAAAAACATTGTAATCACGTCTATTAACTTTATTTTATTAACACTGACATACCAACCTAAAACACAACTACAACATCTCAACCATGATGTCAAAATATGAATATCCTACGTAAACTTGGGTTTCTCTCATCACCATAATGTTCTTTTTGCGCCGAACTGTATAATGTATTGCTTAGTGTTTTGATTTTAAACGGTTACGCACAGACGCGGTTCTTTAGGAATCAAACTAGTGATGAAATGTTTTAATAACGGATTACTTTATTTCAAACGTGTATTAATATTTTACACATAAATCTTATACAAGCAAGCGGATGACTGAATGAATGAATAATATATATATATATCAAGATGAACATAAACAGGAATGAATATGTTGTATTTTGTATGCAATGTGATAACCGATATTATCTGTCAATTGTCTCTGGTCTCACCGTGTCTCCATTGTCTTATGGGCTGTAGCCACGGTGAAGTCTGCAGGTTGACTACGAGTAGGTGGCGCAACGTGGTGTGCTGTTTTTTTCTGCTACTTGTTAGCGTGTTCATTTGATGTGCCACAGGTCTATGCCTCTGGCAATATGAGATTAATTCTCATTGTGTTTCTGTTATATCTGTTCGATTATAAAATAAATTATTAATTTTTTCAATTGTTGTTTTATTTAAAAGGGTTCTGTCGGTTCATTCTTAAATAAANTTTACAGTATATAAAGTAAGCAGCAGAGACAATTAAAAATCTAATTCCCAATTAATCATTGTACCAATTGCGATACTACAAGAAAATCATATTAGAGGATAGAATTGGATCTCACTTTTATATTACAATGAACCAAGTTTTTTTTCGCTAGTTACACAAAGTCAAAAAATATTAACTCTTTGCACTCCGAATTTTTAATATGATGTATCAGCAAATCTGACTCATTTTTCCTATAGGCTTGCCGCTACTCCAGGCTATTTTTAATGGCGCGAGCGCGTTGCCGTAGAATATTGATAATTGCTTTGTTATAAAAAAAACGTGAATACACTTTAAAAATGTGCTTTATTAATACAATATTACTACGAAAATATAAAAATACAATATATTTGATAAAAATCACTTTTTGAATTTCTTCATTTTATGGTATTTTGAAAAACACTCCCCAAGGTGCATTCTTAGCTTATCAGGGAAAGTATCACAATATTCACTCGTTTCTCGTCTTTCACCTTTCGTCTGTCTATTGGAAGAAACAATGCAATCTCTTTTTTTATCTTTGCGCATTTCATGAAGTTTTCCGTTTAACCTGATCTCTGATGATGACGTAGAGGCTCTAGATTTTTCTTGTCGAAAATTATTAATCAGTTGATCGACTAATAGTTTAACATATTTCAAATGTGTCAATGGTTTTTCGTTTTGTTTTGTTTTTTCAAGTTTATGAATTAATTACAGACACTTCCAGGCCCCAAAAAAACATTTTTCTCCACTATTTAAGAGATTTTCTCAAAAAATAATAAGTAGATGCATAATGATCAGCTCGATCTACACCACCCATAGAATTTGTGTAATTTACAACTACATTAGGCTTTCTAATATTTACTTTCGTACCCCCTCGAAGAATTCTTTTTGAATCTATCATTCCAGCATCATTCCAAGTTCTTAAAAGCGATACAACGCTTTTGACTTTCCAGGCTAAGAACATGATTTTTCCTTTTTAACAAAAAATAGTTTTTTTATCCGAAAACTTAGTTTTTTTCTTAATGATAGGGATACCTTTCCTGTTAGGTTTTATAGTACCAGTCAAGTGGCATTTTAATTTCATTAATTCTTCTGCTAAAGGTATACTAGTATAATATCTATCAGTAAAGATATGGTAACCCTGTGCCTCTGAGATTTTATCTAGCAGCCTTTGATATAAATGCATAGGAATTCGAGTGCAGACTGGTAAATCTGAACGAATAAGATTTTCAGATGTAATACTTCCATAATAAGGTAAGATAATATAGATATATCCTGTTTCAGAATCCACCATTGCGTAGATTCTTATACCCCATTTTGTTGGCTTAATAGGGTTGTAAGTAATGAAAGAAATTTTCCCTTTAAATTTTACAATGGATTCGTCTACACAAATATTTTTACCTGGAAAAAAGTGTTCAGAAAATTTTGAATCTAGATAGTCTAAAAAAGTGCTGGCTCGTTGTATATGAGTTTTAAGATTTTTGCTTCCCGAGTCAGGTGTTTTTAAATGGAGCATCCAAAATATTTGATTGAATCGAGCTCTTGTAAATACATTAGAAAAAAATGGGATTCTACTGTTATGTCTAGTTGACCAATAATCTTGCATGTTAGAAACAGGCATTGTACCCATATTTAAGATAAGTCCAATGAAAGCCCAAAATTCAACTTTATTTACATCACGCCATGTTTGCCATATAGTCTTTAGATATATTCTTTGAATTCAACACCGATTTTGCATAGTTATTTGTTTCTTTTATTATTTCCTCAACAAGCTGTTCTGAGAAAAATAGTTTGAAAAATTGAATATATATAAATATTAGAGAGAATTTGGGGGCCTGTTACTTTTGATCCTATTAAAAAATTTACACTTTTGGGCATATATTCATTCTCTGCAATACTGACCCAATCATCTTCTTCGGAGGAGATACTTGAATTATCATCGGTGTCGCTTTCAATAGGTCGTGCTTTTCGCCTTCGATGAACTATTATATCGCTGCTATCACTATCACTATTTATATCTTCATTTATATCATTAATTTCAGCCAAATTGTCGCTGTATAAGTTAAATTCGAATTCATCTTCACTTTCGGAGAATTCATCAATTGCATTAATATTATTATCTTCCATTTAGAGGATAAATATAGAAAAAATGATAATAATTTTAATTCAATTATTTATCAAAACTAAGAGTATAAAACTTGACGAAGAACCAAAGAATGTTTGAATTAAATATATATCTATATTTAAAATAAAAACAATGTTTCTTTTATATGTCGCTGCTGCGGCGACAACGGGTAGAAGCTTATAAGTCTCCTTAGCGCCAACGGAGTTATATAATTACCTTACATTGCGCCGCAGCAGCGACAACGGAGTGCTAAGGGTTAAAAAAAAATATACACAAATAAAACCACCTTAACAATTTCACAAGTTTTGTCCTTCGAAGATGACAACTACAGATTCACAAGGAATCCACATTTCTTAGTCATTCTCTGCCGTCTTTTCTCATTAATCTTCTCATTTCTAGAACCTTAAAGTTATTTGAGCACAAAAAGTTCTGAAAGATAAGATCTTCAGGAACCTCAATATCTATATTCTTTACGATGTCTTTTCTAGTTCTCTTGAAAGCAGCTGCATAGTCCGAGTCTGAGCTTTGGGAGAGTATCATCATTAGTCAGTTTATTTGCTTCTATCAGGTTCAACGGAATATCTTCAACGCTGGATCTGATCCTGCGACAAATCTCTGGAGTGCTTGTGTAACTAACAAGGAGCAAGCCACCCATTACCTGTAACTTCCCTTTTTGTTAGCTGTTTCGCTTCTAACCCGCACACTGTACGATCCTGGGATGTCTATCCTATAAATAATTCACTTGTTTTGACGCCATTGTTGCTGCAGCTGTGACATTTAATTAGGTTTGTGATTTTCTGATATATTGTTGCTACGCTGTTACTGTCGGTTTTTCAACGTCGATATGATACCTCTGGCGTTTAGGTTTATTTGGTTGAGACGTCCTTCTTCTTTCCTTTTTTATTCTTCCTCTACTTTTCGTATCGAGATCATGGTCTTATTCGTTGCTGTTAGTGGCCATTGCTTTTGACTGAGAGTAGAGGTAATAACGAGATAAAAATTCAGAAAGTTCAGAAATCAGATACCACTACACACTCACGATAGATAAAATTATTCAGTTAGTCCCCAATTCGATTGTCCGACCAGCAGGTTCTCCCATCATTTATGAACCAAATATCTAACCATAAACTACAGTGTGGCATTACAATACTGTCAAGTTTATTTAATGAAATTGTAAAATTCAGAATATACTTTTTATTTGTATATATTTTCAATTGTTTTATTCTTTTTGAATATTTTTTGACTTTGTATGACATGACTTGCGAAAGGGTTTTAGTTCGTTGTAATATGAAGTGAGGTATAAAAGAGAGTTCTCCCATATGAACACGTAGTTTTCTTGTAACTTTTGATATTAATTAGCACTTGAGAATGTCGTAATAAAGTAACGAAACGTCGGTACAATAGTTAGTTGGCGATTGCCTTTACTGATAATTGACTTGATTTTATATCTAATTCTTTGTTTATAATATAAGCTTATTAAACGTACGCGTTTCCAAATAAGACCTAGAGCCCCATCGAAGGTTCCATTTTCGCTAAATGTTACGCCTTGTGTTCTTTCTGGAGGGTCACAATATTTTACTCTAAAAATGTTTTCTTTCATTTTAATCAAAGCTGTAATTATTTTTTATAANGCCCGAGGCCATGTCTAAGGAAGTGAAGAATTTTCCTTTTCCTAAACGATCCAATTGATCGTCTATACGAGGAAGAGGGTAGCGGTCTTTTAGCGTTATTTTGTTGAGTGCACGAAAATCCACGCATAGACGATCTGTTCCGTTTTTTTTTTAACTAGTATGACTGGGCTGGCAAAAGGATAATAAATCTATAGGTGCCTTCGTTTGCTTTTTTACTACGATTCGTGCATGTGCATTTTTCAAAAGTTAGTTGTCCGCATGCGTTCTTGTCGTAAACGAAGACATTTTTTTTACTTACGCATTAGGTCGGGGATTTGTGATAACAATAATTTTCATAGCTTCGTGTATATATTCAAGAAAACTTGGACTAATTGTATCTTTCCCCCAATTAAATATAAAGTAGAAATTTTTGCGTATAAAATTGTTAAAATGTATCTGAAATGTACATATCCATAGAAAAAGTATTCATTGGTCAATCACTTAAAAAAAACTGAGGAGTACTACATGGACGTTATTTTACCTCTACTAAAATGTGCTCTGAAAGACGATTATTACAAAGAAACAATGTTGCAAGCTCCTCATATCGGATATATTTTTCCTTGAGAAAATTTAAATACTGAAAGAATCAGAACAAAATTATTTGTTAAAAATTATTTAAATAAACAAATACAAATAAAAAATGCTTTTATTAGAAATTCACTTTAATAGAAAAGTCTCCAACTGTTTCTATCTGAAGTTTTCTCCAGAATATCTAACTGTAAATATAAAATATGTAATTGTTGATGGCTATGTTTTCTTATTTGTTTAACTCTATGGTAATTTTGTGGGCTTGTTTATAGGTTTGGTTAATTAATAAATTACAAAATGCTAAGAGCTATTTTTAATAAGCTTAAGCGTTGACTTTTGGTGTCATTGTGCATTTAAATAATGTTGTCATCTTAAAGATGATTGTTTTCTGTACAATCATACGTGTAGGGTAGGATCAAAATGTAGTAGGACTGAATTTCCGTAGTTCGAAGGAAGCGGAGGAGGGGGATCGGACCACTTGGGTGTGGTAGTGGGGAGCCTTCCGAAGAGATCGATATTTTTCCCAGTCGCCTGTGGGCAAGTAGAAATAAACATGTCGATTTTCATGAACTTTTGTTACGAAGTGTTGTCGCGATCCAAGATGGAAAAAAATCTCGAGCAGCGCTACGCTATCAAATTCTGCGTCAAATTCAGGAAACCCGCAACGGAGACCCTCGAAATGATTAAGAACGCATACGGAGATGATGCTTTGAGCCGCTCAACAGTGTTCGAGTGGGTCCCATATGGTGTTCCGTGGAAGGGTCATAAAATATACAAAATACTGCGAAAACCATTCGTTCTGTAATTAATCGTAACAACCAGTTCAGTAAGGAAATNCTTCTCTTGAGCCTCACTAGGTAAACCAACTACTATTAGGTTAATGCGAGATATTTCGCTGCCGTTAGGTTCAACGTCAAGACATAGCTTTTCCTTTGCCAGCGCATAGTCAACTAAAGACCCGCCTAAAAATTTAAAATTAAAAGCCTTTTTAACGATGGACCAACCCTTATCAACAAAAACATTTAAAAAAGAATCCTTCCAACTTGTCCAAGAAGCAAATAGCCCTATTTTCCTTATAATAGTATCATACCAGTCTTTTGCTGGTCCAATTAAATAAAAATTTAAAGCCTGAATCTTAAGACTATCCGTGATTATCTGGTTTCGGTTACACTCTTCTTCAAATCTATGCAACCACTCTGTGGGGTTGTTTTGTTTCCTATCGAATTTTTCTAATACAAATTTTTTTTCGATTTGTTGCAATTCTATGCCATCAGGAGTAGCGTTCAATTTTAGCTGACGCTCTAAACGTTTAATTCGATCTTCTAATTCTAGTTGTGAAGGTTCAACAACCCGAGACCCCGTCGGAGCTAAAGGAACATATTCTTCTAAGGGTAATTCTTTGAAACACACATTATTCGAGTCATCAAAATATGTGTTGCGAATTTCGTCATCCATTTTAATAGCTATAGTTCTATAACCGTTTATGTCTTTAATTGCGGTTGTTGCGTTAATTATAGGTTTCTTACTTGACAACACTGTGTGGAGTTTTAGGTCCTTGTGTTCATTTGGTAATAAATACCAAATTTTTTTATCCGTAGAAATATTCTGGATCGTAAAATCCTTGTCACCTTTCTTCACAACTTGAACGAAAATCTGGTTCATCTTCTTGTTTATTGGAATCTTGTAATTTAATTTCTAAGATTGTTTTATACGTGATTTTATTCTGAATAAAAGAATTAAATTACACGTTCTTTCTCAACCAAACAAGAGTTCTTGACACAAATAAAACATTAAAAAATAACATAAACACAGTCAACTTGACCAAATCAAAATGAAGTTAAATCTATGATTATTTATATTAAGCTTAACAACTATCCCCAAGGTAGCAGTACTAACCAGAGGTTACAAATATTTTAATTTTAGTGGAAATATCGTGCAATAAATGTGCAATAAGGATGCTTATAGTATGTTTTAGTGATTAATACCTTTGGATACAGTTTTTAATTGCAGAAGGCAATATTAACTATTGAGTGAAAGAAGTAAAAATGTTTTAGGTCAGATTGTATGTTTGGTCGTAATTTTCTTGTTTATTTTAACAAAATGCCTCGTTATATTCCCAGTTGTGATTCAAATTAGAAATCATCTTTAAAATGTGGTAAGTATGAGTATATTTTTATTCCCAAAACATGATGAAATGCGAAAAAATGGATAAGTGCAATAGGTACCACGTAACATTGGACTCCATCGAAATATTTTGCAGTTTGCATACATCACTATAACGAAAATGACATTATAAAAGCAGTAAAAAAAGTATCCACTGCCGATAATGTTTTGAATGTGCCTTAAGATATCCAAAATTACCAGAGAATGATGAAACAGAAATTTACAATGTCATTTTATTGAAATTTTAATTTCCGATTATTTAATGAATTGTGATTTCTTCACAACATCTGCAGACACAATGTTTACGGGCTGAACGCCAAAAACCAATTTTAGAAAAATTAACTATTTTCAAAAATATGTAGTTGTGGAAAACGTTATAAAGATATACTCTTCCAAATTTTATCTTCTTTTGCTAATGTTTTGCTTAATGATTACGTTAAAATTATAAATTATAGAAGTAGAGGGGCAGACGGGCTCCCATATCTGGGTCACGGCTACCCAAATCTGAGTCATGGTCTATCCATCAACATCTTACCAATTTTGGACCTATAGAAGGTCTTTCTAGGTCATTCTTCACCTGAAGAGGTTAGACCATGCCCCTTTTGTCAACAATACCAGAAGCTCTGGAATTGTCGTAAAAGGGGGTGGAGCCTGTATTTATTTGAATTTCCCGCTTAAAGCTACTGCTTATTGAATTTTTCAAACAAGATGTCGCTAGAATACTGAAAAACATCGTTTTCTGTAAAAGTGTGTGTAGTGTGCAGCTATTTTTTTTTGCCTATTGAATTTTTTCAATAGATGTCGCAAGAATGTCGAAACAAAATGGAGCGTGGACAAGGCTAGGCCAATTTAAACTTGAATTTTTCCTCCAACATGGACTTTGTAAATAAAATTCTTTTATTGGTAAAATAACTGTAAGGATGGTTCACCTCGTTTTATCAGCACTTTAGAATTTTATTTCTAAATAAATAGAGGCTCCACACCCTTTTACGACAATTCCAGAGGGTCTTCAACAAGAGCTTCTGGTATTGTTGGCAAAAGGGGCATGGTCTAACCTCTTCAGATGAAGAATGACCTAGAAAGACCTTCTAAAGGTCCAAAATTGGTAAGATGTTGATGGATAGACCATGACCCAGATTTGGGGAGCCGTGACCCAGATATGGGAGCCCGTCTGCCCCTCTAATTATAGAAAGCAAGAGTCCCGCCACTCCAATTCAAATTCAGCTAACTGTAAGAGCAAAAATCCGTAAATTCGCAAAGCTCAAATTGTAATTAATTTTTTCTAATGGGATAAAAAAAGGTAACGCGCCTTGGCAATACCACAATGGTGGTGTGGAAATTTGCCTTAATAAAATTACAATTATCGAGATGACATTCACATAGCCACTTATTAATGTTTACATAATTTATTGTATTTTCTATTGTGTTTCTAATACCTACATCTAGAAGTGTATTTTAAATAGTCACATACTATCAGTGATGAACAAATGTAAGTTATTTAATAATTTAATTCATTTTTATCGTAATGGGTGTCTAATAATCATGTGTAGCGGCGTGTGGTAATAACAAGTAAGACTCACAGAGTAGGACTCTCATAATGAAGCAATGCGCTGTTGCCAAATTTCTCAGCACGGCTTGTGCTAGGAACGGCTGTGGTATTAGTAATAACCACAATGTCAGATATTTTTTTCTTTTGAAATGTGGCTAAACCTACATGTATTACTGGTACTATCAATTCTCTCCCTCGAAAATCTTTATAAATGTCGTAAACGGACGGTAAAGTGGGATGTTTAGATAATCCATCCATTTGATTCCACCAGTTCACCATTTCAAGATACGATTTTTCTTCAGTATTTCCGTTTTTTTTTATCTGATTGTACAATATTCTGTATCTGCACGATAGTAGAACACAATAATGATATATAAATATATTTTTCATTTGTAAATCTATAGGTGCCTTCGTTTGCTTTTTTACTACGATTCGTGCATGTGCATTTTTCAAAAGTTAGTTGTCCGCATGCGTTCTTGTCGTAAACGAAGACATTTTTTTTACTTACGCATTAGGTCGGGGATTTGTGATAACAATAATTTTCATAGCTTCGTGTATATATTCAAGAAAACTTGGACTAATTGTATCTTTCCCCCAATTAAATATAAAGTAGAAATTTTTGCGTATAAAATTGTTAAAATGTATCTGAAATGTACATATCCATAGAAAAAGTATTCATTGGTCAATCACTTAAAAAAAACTGAGGAGTACTACATGGACGTTATTTTACCTCTACTAAAATGTGCTCTGAAAGACGATTATTACAAAGAAACAATGTTGCAAGCTCCTCATATCGGATATATTTTTCCTTGAGAAAATTTAAATACTGAAAGAATCAGAACAAAATTATTTGTTAAAAATTATTTAAATAAACAAATACAAATAAAAAATGCTTTTATTAGAAATTCACTTTAATAGAAAAGTCTCCAACTGTTTCTATCTGAAGTTTTCTCCAGAATATCTAACTGTAAATATAAAATATGTAATTGTTGATGGCTATGTTTTCTTATTTGTTTAACTCTATGGTAATTTTGTGGGCTTGTTTATAGGTTTGGTTAATTAATAAATTACAAAATGCTAAGAGCTATTTTTAATAAGCTTAAGCGTTGACTTTTGGTGTCATTGTGCATTTAAATAATGTTGTCATCTTAAAGATGATTGTTTTCTGTACAATCATACGTGTAGGGTAGGATCAAAATGTAGTAGGACTGAATTTCCGTAGTTCGAAGGAAGCGGAGGAGGGGGATCGGACCACTTGGGTGTGGTAGTGGGGAGCCTTCCGAAGAGATCGATATTTTTCCCAGTCGCCTGTGGGCAAGTAGAAATAAACATGTCGATTTTCATGAACTTTTGTTACGAAGTGTTGTCGCGATCCAAGATGGAAAAAAATCTCGAGCAGCGCTACGCTATCAAATTCTGCGTCAAATTCAGGAAACCCGCAACGGAGACCCTCGAAATGATTAAGAACGCATACGGAGATGATGCTTTGAGCCGCTCAACAGTGTTCGAGTGGGTCCCATATGGTGTTCCGTGGAAGGGTCATAAAATATACAAAATACTGCGAAAACCATTCGTTCTGTAATTAATCGTAACAACCAGTTCAGTAAGGAAATGTCGAATCCTGATGGTTCGTTTTGTGGTAGAGACGAGAACTTTTTTGTGAAAAAAGTATACCTAGATGCCAGGTGAGAGGATAGGATATTGCAGCGGTCGGGGAACTTTTTTAATCATTACCCCAAAATATTTTTGTGTAAGTTGATATTACCCCATGGCGAAGAGCAAAAAAAAACGAAATCGCCTCTTTTTAGCATCTTTCATATTATAGCCCCCATGATAATTTTGAAAAGAAAACAATAACTAAAAATTTAATTTAGACATCATTTATTCAATTTATCAATGTAATACCTAGTAATACATAACGGTAATAATAGTAATATATGTAATATACAGTTGAGGAAAAAAAAATCGCCCC